TGTGTGTGTCTTTGTGGAGCACCTGAGGATGTAGGCTCGCCGGAGAAGTCGTGCACTTCCTCTGGAGGGTCACCATAGTACGCGTTAAACTTGTGACTGGACACTGCAGCCAATACTGCCCCCTGAGGAAGCAACAGAGGCAGCAGCTGTGTCAAAATTTCATATTTAGCTAAATGTTGCTCGGGAATAGCGTCATTGTTAGCCATAACGGTGAAAACCCAGAAAAGTGTGTTTGTTAACTTAAAACCTTAAGTTTCCTGCGGGCGTTAAACTTCCTCAGCTGCTCCACCGTCTCGGGCAGATGGATCTTGTAGGCATATCTGTCTCTCTCCTGGAAGATATTTGGCAGATAAAAGTTGGATCGTGAGAAGAGACTGACAGAGAGGACAGAGGGGTAAACGGACTACTTCAAGTGTCGGTGGTTAAAAGGTTTCTTCCTACATCACGATTACCTTCAACCATGGATGATTGAGAGCTTCGTAGACGGTGATTCTCTCCGCAGGATCCAACATCAACATTCTTCTTATCAGATCTTTAGCGCTTTCAGAGATCTGGTTCCACTGGCGAGGATTCATCTGCACAAACGACAGCCAAAAACGTTTGCTTTGACAAATGCGTCTCGGCCAATCGGTAACAATAGATTGATTTTGTGTTGTTCTGCTGGGAATACAACGGATACAAATTAAGAATTTTTGAAACAAAAAAGGAAAAAAATGAAGATGTTTGCAGTTGGGAGCTTCTCTGGTGAAAAACATTCTCATCTTTGAGTCATCGTTGACCAGGACATTTTCAGCTGCTATGGCACCAACACTGGTCCCCTGTTCTCCTATATATTTTATATTTGCATTGTTAATATAAACTTAACATGGAGTGTATTAACATACAACAACAATAACATATCTATCTATATCATCTATAACCAGCCCCAGCTCCCCACAATTTTGGGAAAAGAAAGCAACAAGCTTTCACATAAAGGCAGCCTATTTGACAATCAAAATGTCAGCTTTTTGAATTTAAATGTTTTCAAAGGACATGTTTATTTTCACGTCCTTATTGTGTGAAAAATTGTAATTATTATCATTACTATAATAATTATAATTATTCATTCTAAATTAAAAGAACACTCTACGTATTTTATGAGCACCCCCTTGTGGCAAATCGTGCACTCCGCACACCACGTTTAGGAATCCCTGATCGAGAATTAACTCTTTATGATTCTGACTCTTCATACTAAATTTCTGCCCAATCTTGGTTTCTATAGCCATGATTAATTATTTTCACATGGTGTTTCTACTTTTTTCTTCCTTTTATTTGATTATGATTTAATACGATGTGTTTTTTTATTTTTGCCAACATTTGTTACTCGTAATAAAATCCCCATCCAAATCCAATCAAATCCAGGAGCCGGTGGTTGAAAAAAAAAAAAAAAAAAGACCAACTAGCAACATTTTAAACAGGAAGATCATGACATTGTTTTTTCTGTCAGTGCTAAGTGCTGCGTCAATGATTTAAAACATCATTTCGTGACAAGTGGGAATCCTCACCTTGTGTTTGCCTCTACAGATATTTTCAAACAGCATTTCCCTGGTGCCGTAGAAGGGCAAACACCCTGACATCAGGATGAAGAGGATGACGCCACAGCCCCAGACATCCACCGGTTTACCGTACGGTTCTCGTTTCACAACCTCCGGAGCCATAAAGTGCGGTGTTCCTACCCGACCTGTCGGCACGGAGACGGAAAGGACAAGACATTACAGTACTAAGTAGAGACATAGAAGTAGTAAACGATGAAATGCAAAAAAAAAAAAAAAAAAAAAAAAAAAAAAATTGAAACAAATTAAACATAGAGTAGCTGTTGATTAATCCTGATCAGACATGGTTAATCCCAATTGTAATTTATCACGATTAAGCAAGGCAAATTGCTATTCCTAAATATGGAGAAAAGACAAACGTTAACTTTGACAACCCGAAAAGTAGGTACAGAAAGAGGACAAAGATAATGAGAGGCAATTAACAGAAAAGAGCAATTAAAAAACAACATTTTTTTTTCTTCTAATTCTTCTTGTTCTTCTTAAAATGTGTGAACACGTTGAGTTCCACCACTGAAAGCATCACATGTATTTCTAGTTAAGAGTTTCAGTATGAACGTTACTTATCTGTTTTCTGCTATTATTATCTGCAAAAAGGAAACAAGAGCCGCAACTCAGCTTCCTGCTTGTATGAGAGAAGCTGAAAAATAAAATTGGCTTTTACCGTTTTCAAAACAGATTCACTTTCTTTCTCAGAGCGGTCCATAGTTTGAAAAAAAAAAAGGACTTTGATGTTGAAGAAGAGGAAGACATTATCAAAATTCAGGTACTTCTGTTGGAGAAGTTAGTTTTAGTGGGAGCTAAATAAATTAAAAAAATTAAAAAAAGTGTGTAAATTTGTGGAACATGTCAATCGATTATCGTGAGATTTTTTTTTTTTTCTCACGCGGTTTTTATTAGTTAGTGTAAAAATATAGCTAGGCATAAAATTTGAAAAATTTGTAATATTATAGACATACAGATTTAAGACTTGATGTGTTATTAACTGACTTAAAAAAAAAACAAAAGCTACACTTTTGTCACTGTTTTCCACACACCTCCTGCTACCAGTCCCGACTCCCCCAGCTGGATGGCCACTCCAAACCCACCGAGCTTCACCGGAGCTGAGTTTTCTTTGGAGGCCAGCAAGACGCAGTGAGGCTGAGGTTGATGGAGAGGGAAAGAAGAAGAAGAAGAAAAAAAAGAACATTGGTAATGAGGTTTTTCTTTTGTTTATACAACCAACACCCTAACGAATATCACAGTGATTCCCAACAGGTTTGAAAAATTTCACTCATTTACCGCAAATCATTTGTCATTGTTTATCTATGTGACTGATAAAAAAATGGGACTTGAACACTGATGACTTGAACTTCACCAGCTATGACCATGATAAAAAAATGGGACTTGAACACTGATGACTTGAACTTCACCAGCTATGACCATGATAAAAAAATGGGACTTGAACACTGATGACTTGAACTTCACCAGCTGTGGCGCTGATAAAAAAATGGGACTTGAACACTGGTGACTTAAACTTCACCAGCTATGGCGCTGATAAAAAAATGGGACTTGAACACTGATGACTTGAATTTCACCAGCTACGGCCCTGATTAAAAATGGGACTTGAACATTGATGACTTGAATTTCACCAGCTATGGCGCTGATTAAAAATGGGACTTGAACACTGATGACTTGAACTTCACCAGCTATGCCGCTGATAAAAAAATGGGACTTTGGCGCTGATAAAAAAATGGGACTTGAACACTGATGACTTGAACTTCACCAGCTGACCCAGATAGAAAGTTGGACTTGAACACTGATGACCTTAACCTCATCAGCTGACCCTGATTAAAAATGGGACTTGAACACTGATGACTTGAACTTCACGATCTGTGGCCCAGATAAAAAGTTGGACTTGAACACTGGTGACCCTCATGTACTAAACTTACAAAAATGTTGAGTTCGCCCATTTCCACGCTCGCGTTCAGATGCATCAAAAATGCAAATGAGCGTAGAAATGTGCTGCGCCTTGTGTGCAAATGTTGCGCACGCTCAAAAAAAGGTTGCGTACTTCCATTTCCACGCTCGCGTTCCGATGCATCAAAAATGCAAATGAGCGTGGAAATGTGCGGGCGAAACACTCGGAGAGGTGATGCTAGGAAACGGCTAATAACGTAAAAACACGGAGTCATCGGAGTGATGAGCACACCAGAGACACACTAACGAACTGATGATTAACACAACAATAGTTGAAGAAAACGTTATTGACAATTGCAGCGATGGTGTCGTTGGAACATCTCGCAATCTGGGACCCAATCATCCGAATGTCATTGACGCACATCAAAGTCCCATACAACGCCGCTGAATAGGCTAACACTGAAGCACGGTTTGCAGCAAGTAACGGGAGTTATTGACCGAACACACACTTTGTTCTTTGTACCTGCGGACGAGTCTCCAAATAACACACCTCGCATCTATAGTTATACTACAGTATAATATTTGTTTTTGACTAGCAGATCGTGGGCCTTATTTAAATACATTTACATTTGATGTAGGGACGCGGTGTGGGTAATTTCACTGGATTTGTTTTTTGCGTACGCTCTTTTTCACAATGAAATCTACGCAAGTCTTTGTGCGTGTTTGCAAGTTTAACGGCAAGGGCTTTAAATAAGACTCTTCTTTAGAAACGTGTATCGCAATTGTAACGGCTTGCACATCGACTCCCAACTTCCCCACATATGTAGCTCTTGTGGCTCAGTGTTTGTTGATCTTGTCTTGTTTCATTTCCTCTTTCTTCAACCCTGCCGAACCCTTTCCCCTCTGTCACCAGTACTCGATCCGGGACCGGGGAAACTAGCTTCGTTCATCCCATGTCTAACTATGTGTTGCAATGACAAGTACCAGTATAAAGTAATGGAAACAACTTTGGGTTTTTTTTCTTTTGGTAACCGACAGGTCAGAAGGTCACACTAAGAATGTGATTTTAATTCAAAAGCAAAAACATCCAGCAGCGCTTTTGTCTGTATGAGCCAGAGCAGACATGGGCAAACTAAGGCCCGGGGGCCGGATGCGGCCCGTTCAACTTTTTAATCCGGCCCGCCAAACTTTTCCAAATGTATTTATATTATCGTAATACTTACTGCCTTTTCCTTGACATACAAATGTTTCCCCAATAGATGGCATAGAAAATGCTAAAAGTATGTTAGCATTTTAGCCTTTATGCATGACTTTTGCATGTCATTTATCTTAGCTTCATCTATCTTGCTCCCTGTTCAATTTTAGGACAATTGTATCCCGCGAGTCAAAACGTTTGGCCACGCCTGAGCTAGAGTCTGCTGTTTTGACTTTGAATTAAAAAAAAAACAACAAAAAAAATAAAATAAATTCTTTATAATCTTTCATTATAAAAACGAAAATGAACTTTTCTGTGCCCACTTGGCGAATTGCAATTGGAGCTGTGAGACGAAGCCGTCGTCTGTGTTCTGTGGTTGAACTGGTCTCGCTGAGCTTTTAGCTCCACCTCTTCTCTGCTGCTGTTGGGTTTAGATGAATAAAAGAGCATGAAACACAGCAGAGCGGTATCACCAAACCAACGGCAGTTCAAAGAACCAGCGGCTGAGCGTAACTGAACGGGGGTTTGTTTTTGAATAAAAAGGGGAAATACAGCTCAGGTTTCTAAAGGGAAGCAAGCAGAACCACAGAAGACCCAATCAGAACTTCATATGTGACTTCAATTGACTTCAAGTCGGGTGAGTTTTTGAATTTATCCGTTAAAAAAAAAAGCATTTCAGCAGCATGCAAGGTCAATCAAACAACCTACTACTTCTTAGCAGACAGATTTCGTTCAAATGTTTTTGTGCTAACCTTAATCTGGTTTTGTGCTCAATTTTGTCTTTGTATGCAAATAGAAGCAATTTGTACCACTTTGGTTTTTGTTGTATTCAGGTGAACTTCTAACTGTTTCTCAGCAATTTTAATTCACTTCCCGTGAAACATCTGGTTATTTGTATCGGCCCATGGCTTTAAAAAAACACAGCTATTTTTTTATGGACCTGTAGTTTTTGATGAATAAATACTGTATATCTTTTTGTTTAAAAAAAAACAGCAAAAACTAATGTTTTTTTCCCCTCTTTCTTAAATATTGAATGTGAAAAATCGAATCAAATTCACTGACTTACAATGTCTTGCAAATAAATTGTCTTTGTTTGTCAGTGCGTGACATTTAAATACAATAAACAACAATTAAATACCCGTCCACTAGTTGGCAGCAAATGGCTATGAAAAGTAAAAAAAAAAAAGAGAAATTCTTTGTGAGTGTCTTTCTTCAATTCCTTCAAGTATATCAGCGTTGTGTTCAACTAAACAGGCCGTTTAGTCAATTTTGAGTATATTTAAACAAGAAGGTTATTATATTTTATCATTAGTGCATGGAGATATACCGTGGGGTTTAATTAAAAAATATGTGTCGCGGCACAAAAACAGTTGGAACTGGAATAGCAGACACCCCTACCATCGTCATTGGACGATTGCGGGCACCCTAGCTAGATCAGAGATTGCAAAGAAACTAAAAATAAATTATTTTGAATTCTTGCAACATTGTGGTTGGAGTAAGATACTGAGCGAAAGCACTGGACTTTAACCATCACGTTATCCTGTGCGTATAACGTAAAACTCTTTTTCATGACAGAAGGAAAATCCCCTTTTTGACTCTCCATCTTCATCCTCGGTTTGGTGGGGAATGTGGTGGCTCTCTGCGTCTTCTTCTACGTCCAATCCAAAAAGACCTCGGTGCGCGTGTTCCTCATCAACGTGGCTTTCGCCGACTTGCTGCTGGTGGCGGGTCTGCCCTTTAGGATGTACTACCACATTCATGGAAACATCTGGACGTTGGATCCCACCCTGTGTAAAGTGGTAGGGATCCTCTTCTACACGAACATGTACACCAGCGTCACGCTGCTGGGCATGATAAGCGTGGACAGATACGTGAAGTTCCACGGCAGAGTGGGAACGAGGCAAAGGATTAAGTCGACCAAATGGAGCACCACGCTCTGCGCCGTCATCTGGATCGTGTCCTTTGCCGTGTTTCTGGTTTTGCTGTTATCGAAAAGTGAACCATCGCAGTCCTACAGGTAAGTGGCGCCAAACGCTCCATCTGTGATGTCTTCACGATGACACATCTTAAACATAACGCATTTGAGTTTTCTAAAATGTCGCCTTGGTCAGACTAGCCCATCTAGAAGATAGACGTTGAAAAACCACTAACTATCCCACACCAAAGTCAACCCGATAACGAGTTGCTGCCACCTAGTGACTGGAGGCTCATTTATCACTCAGGCATTACAGCCGTGGCACAATTCTGTCCAGTGCGCCATATTCCATTGGAAGTATGAGTATGAGTATGAGTATTCCGTGTTGTTTAATAGCACTCATTGCACGATTTTGCGCCTGATACGACGAAATTTCTAGTTACGAGCGCTCAACCGAGGACTGGCGTCCATCCGTTCGTCATACGGCATGGGGGAGCCACGGGCTCTGATGCCAACGCAGCTGCAGAGTTCGTCACAAACTTTTAGTGTTTAATAATAATAATAATAATAATAAGAAGAAGAAAATATATATAAATATATATATTATTATAATTACAATACATTTAGCAGACGCTTTTATCCAAAGTGACTTACACCTCGAGTCAGTCAATCAACCATCAAGCTACGGCAAACATACGTATACAAAAATACGTAAATAATAATAAATAGTAGTAAATAATAATAAATAATAAATAGTAAAAGTACGGTTACAGTGATAGTAGGTCATAGAGTAAGCAAAGGTGAATGTTAGGTGTATATATAAATATATACATAGTCCTTCTCCAACGCTTAGTGGCCCTGACGCTGCCTCGCTTGGTCATTTAACCCGTTTTTATAACATTAATATATATATGTTTTCTTAATTATTATTTTATATTATCATTATATATTTGTTTATATCTATGTTTTTGATGTTTAGATAAGGGGGGGGGATTAATAGTATATTTCTGGGGGTCTGGACCAAATGATTTGGATTTTAGTGATTTTTTTCCAAGGGTAAAATTCGATCTAGATACGAGTGGATCGAGACACTGGTGCTGTGTTGCAGAATGGATTCGACTTGTATCTTGGGCGGGGTGTGTATGTGTGTGTGTAAAAGAGAGAGAGAGAGAGAGAGAGAGAGAGAGAGAGAGAGAGGAGTGGGGGGGGAGGGGGGGGGGGGGGGGGGGGGGGGGGGGGGGGGGGGGTGGAGTAAAAAAAAAACCCATACAATTTGACATGAACGAAAGAGCCGCATGAAACCAGGCAAAGTTTGATGGCGTGTCTGTTTGTCAGAATCAGAACGAGAACAGACTTCTTTTTTTGTTGTTGTTGTTGTCAGAATACGAATATAACAAAATGGTTGTTCCAGATGCTTTCACTACAGACAGTTGCTACGGGACAAGTGGAAAGCCTACATCAACGTCAGCGTGGTGGCTTTGTTCTGGCTCGTCTTCATCGCTCTGGTGGCGTCTTACGGACGAATCGCCCTCAGTCTGCTGCACATTTCAAAGGAGAAGCCGGATCTCCCCAACACCCTGCGCTACATCCGAACGGCAAAAAAGTCCTTCTTTATCCTTTTCATCTTCACCGTTTGCTTCGTGCCATACCACGTGATCCGGATTTTCTACATCTGGACTCAGATTACGGACACGCTTTGTTACTGGAAGAACGTGGCTGACAAAGCCAACGAGGTCGCGCTGCTGTTTTCAGCGCTGAACAGTTGCCTGGACCCCATCATGTACTTTCTCTTGTCGTCATCCGTGAGGACGGAGGTTTTGCGTGCGGTCAGGAGAGTGTTTCTCATGAAGGACATATCGGGGGCCAGCAGTAACAGCTCGACTGCCGAGCTGGACGCAAGGAGTGGTAGAGAAGTCCGAGGACAGCCGAAAGTTAGTTGGCTTGGTAACAGCCCAAATGGATCAGAGACTCCAGACAATGGTTAAAGTTTCTTCGGAGACTAACTGCGTTTATATATCTTAGCTTGAACTAGTGTCGGTAACAAGTTCAGAAACTGGTAGTAGACAGATACTTTCTGCAGTATGTAGCAGAGGTAGCTATAGGAAAACCCTTTAGGTTGAGACGCAGGAGCTCTACTGTAGGTCTACTGCTGCGTCCCGTTGTCAGTGGAGCAAATATGAAACAAAGTATTTCAAAAAATAAAATCATAAAATCAAACATTTGATCTACGTCAAGGGGTGCCAAACATACGGCCCGCGGGCCAAAACCGGCCTGTTAGGGTGTCCCATCCGGCCCTCTCGATGCATTTTGAAAATAGGAAAAATACACCAACACTTTTTTTGCAAACTATAGCAAATTAAAATGAATAAATAACAATATATATCTAATATACTTGTGTAAACTAGTGTTTAGATATTTGTAGCCTAATTTACAAGTAACTTAACCTTAACTTATTTCCTGTTTTGAACAGATTTCACATCCAAACCTTTTATCTATTCATCAAACAAGTCCGTTTGACTTATGTAGTGACTTGACGCCCCCTAGTGGATGTTTTTTTTCCCACCCTTCTGCATTAAGTTTATTTATTCAGAGAATTGTTTTAGTTTTGGGATTTATTTATTCAGAGAATTGTTTTAGTTTAGTTTATTTTCAATATCAGTAAAGTTTTATTGCGTTAGCTTATAATGGACAGAAATGTTTATTTGAAATAAATCAATTATTGTATAATTATATGTATATATTATGTATTTAAATAAGTATTAAAAGACAAGGGGGTTTTTTTTATACGGCAAATGTCGCTTTTAGGTTATTCTAAACTTAAACATTTTGTCATGCATCGCACTATCTATTTCTGCCATAATCAAATGTATATATTTACTTATATTGCCATTTGTTTATGCACTTGAACACGGTTAATGTTTACAAAGTTTACAAAGTCACAATTAAATGCTTAATGCTTTGGAATCTAATGGGTTTTCATTTGCTGGTCGTTTGTTTTACACTCAAGTTAATTATAGTATTATAAAGCCCCATAAATCCCCATAACATTTTATTTTCATAATATTTATATCATAATACGCGCTCTCCTTCTATATATAATTTATGGTTGAGATGAGAGAGAGAGAAGAAGAAAAAAAAAAAAACCCAACGTCTGCAAGAGCAGAAACGACAAACTGGGAGGAAGAGGAGAAGGAGGAGGAGGAGGTCTGAAATACCTTCACGTCCCTGTGGATGACGTTATTGTCATGGCAATACCGCAGTGCTTCAAGGATCTGCCTCATGTAGTGACTGTGGAGCAATAAGAGAGATTAGTGATTAAACTAAAAAAAACCCCAAAGAATTAGAAAAAAAAAAATACTGATTACCTGGCCACAGCTTCACTGTAGACAAATCCAGCATCTGCTCTTTTGACAATCTCAAAACACAGATCTGCTCCATCCATACTATAGGGAACGAAAAAGACACACATGGAATATATAAACAATAGGTCAAGTCGCCACTAGAGAGAGACAGTTCCAACTAAACTGGGTTTTTCGAACCGCACTGGGAAAAGTTTGAGGATTTTTTTTTCCTGTCATGTCCCCCCTCTTCCCCTCACCCACCTTCGGACCCATATCCCCGTGAATTGAAAATACTTTTGAGAACCTGATAACATGTATATTTTTATCTCTAGAAACCACTGTATGAGTTGCTGCCCCCTAGTGACTGGAGGCTTGTTATCATTCAAGCGTTACAGCAGTGGTCCACTTATGTCATATTCGTGGCATATTCCATTGGAAGCCCCCCATGCTGGATGAGCGGGTATGTGTGCTAACCACACACACATACATATATATATATATGTATATGTATAAATATGTATATATATATATGTATATATATATGTATATGTATAAATATGTATATATATATATGTATATATATATGCATATATATGCATATATATGCATATATATATACATATATATATATATGTATGTATATATATATATATAACAGCAAGGTCAGAGTTTGTTCAGGATTTTTGTGTGTTTTACTATCAATATAACAAAAAAAACAAAACAAAAAACCCAGGTCTATTTAAGACAGCTGCAGATTTGATTTCGGCCTCCTGCAAAAATTGAAATATTTCCTGTTTATTATTCTTTTTGGTTGACAAATAAAAAAAAAAAGATCATTTGCATTTTCATCTACTAGACTCAGACAGCGCGAACTTAGCGAGCACTTACATCTATTATGTTGAGAGGTTTTTTTTTTGTTATATATTTTTACAAATGTAATGTAGGCCCCATCTAGGGGTTTAAACTCCACGGCATTGCTGGAGCCGCTGGTCTGCTGCTGTTTCCTGTGGTCAGTAAATGTCACTGAAATGATCTGGAATGATCCGCAGGATTTCAAAAAGGAAAGCGAAAATAACACATCTAAACTTAGTGGAAGAGGCGGCGGTGGATCGACGACTACGGCAACATTAGAAAGTAGTAGTTTGCAAATCTGCCACGTGTAATTACATAGGATTGAGTACGTCAGCTTATACTGTATTTAGCTGCAGCAATAAAACGTAGACGCAATTTACAGTGTCAGAATATTACAGCCACCAGAGGGCGAATACTCTGTATCCTTCTGGTGCTGAACCAAAGCCCAGATACATTGCTGAGGGTTGTGTCAGCAAGGGAAAAAGTCTCGTTATATTTATAATGAATATTTGTAAAAACAATGTACAATAATACAGAATTTGACAGAGGGGCCGGGTCAGGAGCAGATAGATGGAGCGTTGGCGTGAACTAAGACGAATGACATGTAAAAGTCATGCATAAAGGCTAAAATGGGTTTCAAATGGTCTGCGCCATCTATTGGGGAAACGTGGGTATTGCAGGGAAAGGCAGAAGTATAATAATACGAAAAAATTATATAATTTGGAAAAGTTTGGCGGGCCTGATTCAAAAGCTGAACGAGCCGCATCCGGCCCCCCGCGCCTTAGTTTGCCCCCGCCTGGGTTGGGCTGGGGAGGGTGCGGTCACTGCTGAATGATGGCAAGCCCCGAATTAGTTAGCGTCACTTGGGTTTTGACAATATCGGAGAGATGGACGCGCATGGAGTCGCAGATCAACAGGAACGAAGATTTGTAGAAAAGTGACCTAAGTTGGACACAGGAGGGCGCTGTTGTTGTTGTTGTTCGCCCCCCTCCAGAGTCAGGCGGTTTTCGCCCTTTGTTCTGGATAAAATTCTGAAGATTAAAGGATTTTAAGTACGCCCTATAGTCCGAAAAATACGGTAGTAAAATGAAAGTACATTTTTCATTGTTCTATAGACATAATGATGTTATTACGATGCAGAGGTACTAACTGTAACGGTATGATTTCCACTGTTGTTACAAGTTAGATTATTATTATCTAGCACAGGGATTCTGGAGCAAGTCTAAGATCATGTAGTTCTATTTTAAGAACTGGGTAGAACACAAAGTAACATAAGAGCACACTAATATGCATACAGGTGGATAACACCGTGTACAGAAAGTGCTTCCATCCATCCATTTGTTTCATTTTGGTAATTGTTTGTTTGTTTACATGTTTTATTTACCGTATTTTCCGGTCTATAAGTAACACTTTTTTTCTTTATCCTTCGGCTGGGTTTGCGACTTATACTCAGGTTCCACAAAATATAATTCATCTCTGTTATTTTCACACTGACAGCCACTAGAGGGCACTCTAGGCTTGGGTACCAGTATCTGCTACTCTCTTACTAATGAAAATGTACATGTTTGTTATTTTCACACTGACAGCCACGAGAGGGCACTCTAGGCTTGGGTACCAGTATCTGCTACTCTCTTACTAATGAAAATGTACATGTTTGTTATTTTCACACTGACAGCCACTAGAGGGCACTCTAGGCTTGCGTACCAGTATCTGCTACTACTGTAAGTCGCACTTTTTTCATCCTTTGGCTAGTGCGACTTATATATGTTTTTTTTTTTCTTCTCCATTATGCATTTTTTTGGCCGGAGCGACCGGTAGTCTTTAAACTATGGTATATTATTTCTTTTTTGTGAGTTTTTTATGAATGTATTATGTATTAAAATTTTTGCGAAAAAAAAAAAAAAAATCATCCTTACAACTCAAACACCATGTAGAGCATCCCATCTGAGCTGTACGTCTCCAGCAGCTCCACAATGTGGGGATGTTTCAGCATGTGGCAGATACTGGCCTCTCTCTTCAGATCTGAGAAAACACACACACACACGCACGCACGCGTTATTATTAGACACATGGTTTCATATTCATGGAAATGTTATTTTACTCTTTACTTTTTTTTTTCATTAGTTTTGCTGATGTTTAAATGTAACTCAAAACATATGTAACATATAGTTACATCCGACTCCTTTTTTTTTGATATCTAAATGTAATGCAAATGCAAATAAAACGTTGGCTGCTCCACTGCTAGCTCACATGGGGGAAAGCCTTGCGGTAAGAGGATCGGGTTTGAGGTCAGAGGTCAGGTTGGGAAGTACTACTTCAAATACTCCCTGGGCCCCTCAGACAGTAAGTCGCTGCTTCCCAGGAATGGGTTGATAAATAAAAAGTGGCAACAAATAAATAAACGACCATGGATGGTTTTTGTATTTTTCTTAGAACTGCAGTCCATTAACATGGAGAAGAAAATCAGCTTCACATGTTGACCTCATGACA